TCACCAGAGCTGATCTCACCCTCGTTGTGTTTCAGTTTACATTGCTGTAGTGACTAATGGTGCTTTCCATATTTCCATGTGTGCTGCACATTTGTGTATCTTCTCAGAGAATGCGTCTCTTGGAATCTTTGACTACTTTAGAAACTGGTTGTCTTTTGTTATTGAAGAGTTCTTCCACATTCCAGACACAAGTCTTGTGAGTTGTCTTCACTGTGTGTGTGTGTGGGGGGGTCCTTTGAGCACACACAGAGGCTTCTAATTTTTATGAAGTTCATTGTATTCTCCCACTGGGATTCATCTGCTTCTGCCTTCTGTGTGCTGGGATTAAATTGCACTGCCATCCTGGGCTCATTGTTCACTTTTGTTGCTTGTGCTCGAAGATTCTTATCTAAAACAGCATTGTTGCCCAAATCAAAGTCAAGATTTATTCTTGTACAAACTCGTAACTACTATATGACCATTAGGTCGTACATTAGGTCTATGATCCATTTTTGGCTTAAGTTTTGTTTGTGGTATGAGGAAGGAGTCCAGCTGCATTCTTTTGCATGCGGACATCCAGTTGTCTTGACACCATCTACCTCCTTTTCACCTCATAACACGCTATGGATAGCCTGGCAGTGGTGGTTCACTTGGGAGATAGAGGCAGGCAGATCTCTGAGTTCAATACCAGCCTGGTCTACAGAGTGAGTTCCAGGACAACCAGGGCTGTTACACAGAGAAATGCTGTCTCCAAAAACAAAAACAAACAAAGACAAAAACAACGACAGCCAGCCCCAAACCCCTATTGGTCGGCATTATTCCCTTGTCACCAATGAAGACATCAAATCTTAGAAAGATCAAGCAATCAGTCTGTGGTCACATGACTGATAAACGAAGGAATCTACATTTGAACTCACGTTCCTTGACTCCAGGCACTGCGTTATGCTTTAAAAGAGAATGCATTTTCCAATAGGGAATGTTTAAAGAGAGAAAGAGTACCGACATCCCAGCACTGAGAAAATGAAGAAACAGACCACAGAGGGACTGCTTGTGTCTGTGGGTTCTTACAAATAGTGGTTCTCAGACGTTTCTATCTTATATACATGGTTTTCAACTAGGACAACTGATATCTTGACTTTTGTGACTGTTGTATGTGTAATTCACATAAAAATCCCCATTAATGCCGGGCGCAGGCGGATCTCTGTGAGTTCGAGGCCAGCCTAGTCTACAGAGCGAGTGCCAAGATAGGCTCCAAAGCTACACAGAGAAACCCTGTCTTGGAAAAAGAAAAATCCCCATTAAGGCACCAAGAGCACAGAATTAAGGAAGAATACAAATATTTGGTCTTGGTGAGTATCCATTTTCTTTACCACCATGCTAGAAAATCGTCAGTGATGGAAAGACTCTTCCCAAGAAGTGACTATACCAATACATGCAATTGTACAAATTGTTATGTGTTGTGTATTAGACACTGTCTAAGCATCTACGGTTTTCATGTTGATACTGTTTTGTTCTTTCCTCATTTTCCTGAAATGGTCAAAAATCTCATCACAGACTGCCATTGTAACTTTATCCGCCTTGAGAGTGGGAACTGCATATTCCCTCAACAGCACATAGCTCTCTAATGTTTTTTCATGTGAATAAATAGACTGATATAAAGCATGAATCAGCAATCCTGTGAACAGCGGGGTAGAAGGTTAGTGTTAAGACTTTTATGTAAGATTCTCCTACAATATTAGATGAACAATGGTACAAGTGGTACAATGGGCTCTAGTGCAAACCTTGCTATTCAGCTTTGTCTCCTTTCGAGCAGGCTCTGCAATCAGCTCTCAATGCTTCCTCTTTCTAGCAGGGGCCAGCTTGGTCTCAGAAATTCCACCCAGGGATCACAAGTGCATAGTTCTGCATTTGTGCCAACTATGTAGTGTATTGTATATAGTAGTGCTTCACAAATGCACAAATAAGTAGCTATGGGAGTCAAGCCAGTTGGGGACGGGGCGGCTGCCTGAGGGTGGAGGGGCCTTCCAGGGAAGAGGATGCAGCCTGAAGGCTTTCCTAAAGTTAAGAACCGTGTGCACCAATCCTGTGGCTCGTGAGGCCCTTCCTTCTGCTTCAGGCTGGAGTTCTGCACTTAGAACCTTGTTGGGACTGGGCCACAGGGTTGTCATCTGCTGCACGTCCTTCATCAGTGTCCAAATACGAAGACTGTGCACGCATATATTGACTGGAAGCTTGTTTTTCTTGTTCTGAAACAGAAAGTTCATGTCTTTTTAATACCTTGAGCAGATTTGTATTTCCTCTGAGATAACTTGGTGTCCTTTGCCTGGGTTACTTAGAGTGAGTCATAGCCCTAAGATTTTTAGGGCCTGGGAGCCCATATGTCATCATTGAGTATTTAAACATTAAAAAGGTAGCTGGCTATAATCATTAAATTATGTATCATCCTCTAACATCAACAAACATACATAAACTGATGGCTTTTATATTATTGAAAATTGGCAAAATATCAGATGGTTCAATTCGATCAGTGTCAGTACAACTTAGTAGTATATTATCATAGTGGTGAATTCCATTTCAAAATAGGACAATTTTTTACATTTTAAGAAAATTTCCTAGCATATTCCAAACTCTCTTTGGGAGATAAAGGTGAGAAATAGAGCATATTTAACACATGCTAATAAATTAAATTACTACACAGAGCTGAAAGTTTTTGACTTTTTGAAACTAATTTTGCTAGCTTTTTGACACAGATGCTTTTTGTGGTTCAGTCTAGTGTTCAGTGCTTTAGAATCAGTGTCATGAGTCTTGTGAGTTATGTCTAAACACAGTTAAGAACAATGTCACAAAAGCAAATATCCCTTAGCCTTTGTGTGAACTGTTGTGAACACTGCACTAATCTGAGAGCGTTTCTGGAACTTTCAATGTCAGTGTGATGAGGAGACAGGGAACAAATGCTAGCCTTCCTGGGAAGTACAACACTGCTATGCACGGATCTGCTGCATTCAAGGGTATCCGAGAGGAGGGACCTACCAGGCTAGCCTCGCCTTTACCTAAGCAGTCCCATGCACTGGGATGGAGTTGCCTTTTGTCTCAAGGATCTAAGACAGGAGATGTGAAGAATGGCTTGTTGGGGCCAATTAGTCGTAGAAGGTTGTATAGTGTTAGGGGCTTGAGTGTGAGATCTCAAGAGATGCGTTCATATGTCCATTAAAACATTTGTGCGCATGTGTTTGCGACTTGCAAGTCTACAAAAGCATTGCCTAAGAGTGGAGTCCTGTCCTGTCTTGCTCTAAGGACACTGGTGATCTTAGGCCATGGAGTGAGATTAAAGAGATGGTTTTCCTAACCAAACTCTTTATTTCAGTGAATACAGCAAATAGTTGGGAGAGGAGGATGGTCTATGCTTTTCACTCAGCTAGCACAAACAAACCTTGCTTGCTGGCTTGTCATAGTCATCTGAAGTGCTGCTCAACTTGCTGGCTGCTGAGTTTTAGGGCTGCAGAAGACAGAATGAGGCTTTTCATTAATTTATTCAGTTAAGAAGTAATTGTCAAGCATCCTGCTTTCCAGATGTTATTTGTGAAGATCTCACAGTGTTGAGGACACATATATGACAATACTGTGAGCCAGGCATGTAGCTGTGCTTGAAAGTCCTACTGGAGCATAGAGGAAAGAAAAGCTGCCCATGCCAGTGTTGGGTGGTTTGGAAAGGCCTCAGAGGTCGTAGAATAAGGACAGCCTCCACTACATGCTAAGTGGCCCCTCCACTCTAGACCAGCCTATGCAGTCACATTTACTTCCCACAGTCATTTCTCAAAGTCATTATGCTCACTTTACATCACAGAAGCAAACAGCTAAGAATCAGAAAGGCTAGTAAGCTGCTTGTTCAAGGCCACATAGGTGGCAAATGATAAAGAGTTAGTGTTGCATTACCGGATGCACCTGACTCTGGTGGATGGACTTCGCACTCTGTTCTGATGTTTGATGTGTAAGAACTTCACTGGGGAACACGGGCGGTAAGGGGCATCCAGGAAAAGCAGCAGCAATTGATCTTAAAGGTCTACCTTGTGTGTTTTAGAAGGAAAGGAGCATGCTGGCAAGCATCCTCACAAGGATGAGGTCGCAGAGGAGTGACGCGGGTGTGCCCTGACTGGTGTGAATGGGGTTCTGCGAACAACTCTGTTCCTAGTCATCTCTAACAGGCCTGACTTCTTGGTTAGTATGTGGATTCTTCCCTCAGCGAGAGCTTTTGAAGTTCTCTCTGTGACCTCCTTTCCCCTTTCGGGAAGCAGGGACAGTGCTGGGGACTGAACCCAAAGCCTTGCACATGTTAGGCAAGCAGTCTTGCGCTCAGTTACACCTTGGTCTCAGTGTTTTTCTGAGCCAATTTAATCTTTATCCCAGATTTCCCCAGCAACCAGTGTTCTAGGTAAGCAAGCTTCTGTCCAGTCTGGAAGATTCCAGGAGTTTATAGCCTCAGTACTGCTACAGTCTACTTCTAATCAGAAGTGAAGAAGCAGTCACCAAACACAAAACTATCTGAGCCGCCTCAGCCAGTTTTTCATCTGTTCTTAGGCATTGTCCCGGTCATATCTCCTGGGCCATTTCCCCTAGGAATACATTTGCACCGCTACAGCCTTTTGCACACTGGTTTGTTCCAGTTAGCCTGGATTGTTGGCTTTTGTTTTTGAAGATCTTCCGCAGAGTACACATGACCACCAACGGATTAACTTCAGCATCTGTGGGTAAGTCAGCAAAAGGTCTTCCCTGCGTTCTTCCAGGCCCTGGCACGTGGTGGTGCTCGCCGCTGGAACGGGGCGCGCGCGCAGCAAGTTTGGTGTTAAGGCATCTCTCCGGCTGACTTCACCCCAACTCTCCGGCCCGCCACGGGTGATCCCCTGGAGCTGGCGCAGGGGGCGTGGCTGGCGCGGGGCATGCTGGGGCGGGCAGGTGGGCAGGTACCTGGGCGGGGCGCGCCGTGGTTGGCGGCGGGCGGAGGGGCGGAGGGGCGGGGGCCGCGCACCCGGAAGAGCGATCCGCGGAGCTAGCGCGTCTGGCGGCGGCTGGGGGCCCGACATGGACAAGCTGAAGAAGGTGCTGAGCGGCCAGGACACCGAGGACCGCAGCGGTCTGTCTGAGGTGAGCGCAGCCGTGGAAGCCAGGATTTCTTGGGTAGCTGCCCTGTCTCCAGCCCGCGGCGCTGAGCTCAGCTGGGACACAGCCACAGGTGGCAGCACGGGGACTTTGCAGAGAGCGTGGCTCCCGAACCCTTCCCAACTTCCCCTCCGCAGGACTGGGGCTCTGCAGCAAGGGCCCAGAAATCTGGGCGAGTGGGAGTGCGGTCCCGGGGCCTCCTGGGCCCCTGAGCCTGACCCGCAGCTCCAGCTGGAGCGGCCAGGGCTCTCCCTTTAGAGCCGGACGGGGCCGGCGGCCTTGGTGGAAGGAGCCCCTTCCTGGATCGCGGGCTAGCTTTGGTTGTGGGGTGTGAGGTCCAGATCCGACCTTATGCGTTCTGCATAAGTAGTAGTAAAACTCCGGGAACACCTAGTTAACAGGGACCTACTAGGTCCCTGAGTCTCCAAGGTCCATTCCTAGACTATAGGTTCCCAAGCACCCCTGGAGACTGCAAGAGTGTTTGTTTTATTAGCAGGACTTTGATGCCTTTGAAACCTGCCAAAGAAGGTCCTGTGCACCAGAGCCACACTTAGGACGGCTTATTTTAGATGCTTTTGGAGTTTGCTTACATTTTCCTTTTTCGAAGACGAAATAGCGTTTTACTTGATATATCCTTAGCCCCGGTTTCCTCTTCTGTGAAACAAGGACGTTGAAAAGATGATAAGGCGCTTTCTTCTTGGAAACTGAGTTCCTCTCTGATATTTTCTTGTGTTCCTCGTGTTTTCCCCAACATTCTGCTCTCATTTTGTGGTTGATTTTGTTCTGAGTTTAGTCTTTGTAAAAACACAACTGCATCTCAAAGGGAATAAGAGTTTATTTTGAAGCCAGATACAAGCGACCATGGCCCCAGGACAGCTTCAGTGTTCCAACATGATACCAGTTGGATATATATCAGAACAAAGTAATAAATCAAGGCACTTGCTAAATGTATCAGTGGAAACACTAAGTGGAGGAATCTCAGCTGGAGGTCCTCTCTAGGCTGTCTGATGGTACTCTAAAATCCTTGGCTTGCAGAAGCCTGGGTTGTGTTAAGTTAATAAACTCCAAGATGTTTTTTACCTATTAGTCACAGGTGGGCAAGAAATGACTGTTTAGGGGGTAAAAGATAGCCCGAGGTTAGTTGAATTAGACTCTGGACCTCTCCACAATCATTAGAAATAGAACCAGACATTTTTTATGCTTTTAAAACATTTTCATTTTTTAATTTCTGGCCTCCTGTGAACCTCTTTGATATGAGATGAAGCCCAAGTCGAGCCTCAGTGCCATTTAAGATGAGCTCCATAGAAGTCAGCAAGCTGTTCTACAAAGTTGGGGCTGAAGGGGAGACTCTGGGTGTAGTGCTGGCTGTGAGGTGTTGTTCATCTGTAGCAGTGGGTGGGCCTTCAGGAGCGACTAGTGTAGCACTATTTGAAAACAGATGCAACCCCCCCCAAGTAGTGAATGCTTCCGTGGAAACAGCAAAGGCTTTAACCTCCTCTTAAGCTCAGGCACATATTACATCTATTTTTAAAAGACTGTGGGCTTCACTCTTGTTTGAAAACACTGTCAGTTTCCTCTTTCCTAGTAAGATTCCTGTAGATGTGCGTCATTGTGTGGCATTTCCAGGTCTTGAACTCCAGGAACTATTCTGTAGCCAACAGGGTTCATCGTCAGGGATGTTCTGGCTTGGTAATCACTTATGAGGTCCCGCCTCCTGTTAAGTACTAACTAATGTGGTCACACTTTCCATGGTTTTGAGCCTGGAAAAACTGGAGGATTCTGTGGCAAAATTTTTGTTTGTGTGGTTAGCTGGATGAAGTTGCCTTCAGGTCTTCTCAGTTACATAACCTGTAAGACGTTGCCAGAAAAGTTAGAAAACATTTTATAATTTATATTAGTGCCAACTATAAAGTATGTTTTGTTCCTTCCTTCCCTCCTAGGTAGCTGTAAAGTTGGCAGGATTCTTAGTCACAGTCTATGATAAGTCTTCTAATTAACACCCTGTCGTCATAAACACACGTAAGTCCCAGTTTCAGTGCAGCCCTTTCTGAAAGAATAGGCTTTGTGTTTTCTGGAAAGGGCTTTTGGGACAAGGAAGGGTCTGAAGGGTGTCGGATCATAACATGTAGGAATACAGCGGCATTCCTTTCTCACCTCCTGGCTGCCTGGACAACCCTTAGCTATGGTGCTTGGCAAGAATCCCTCTGCCTTCTCCATCCTGGAGTCAAAGGGACCTTTGTGCATGACTGCCAGCCAGACAGCTCGTGATTCCCTGCAGAGTCTATCCAGGTACTTTTACCTGTTTGGATTTTGGAAAAAAAAAAAAAAACCTCTGTGTTAGCAGAATTTACAGAAGCTGCAGCTTAGAGAGAGATTTTTATCAACTGAATTTGCTTTCATAAATTGACAGAAAGTATTTTCCTTTCACCGAGTCCTTTTAGAAGTAGAGCAAAAGCTTCCTCCTCTTCCCTTGATCAAGTGACAGAACACACAGACAGTGGAAAACATGGTGGTGAATTATCCCTGCTCCCTACCCTGTGTTCCTGTCCCTGCTAAAGAAAAGACAGTATTTAGATGGACTCATCTTGAGACGTTTGTTTAACTCAGTGTCACTCTCGTGTCTGAAGGTAAAAAGCAGAACCATGCTTTTTGTCAGAAATGCTTTCTCTTGCCAGTGGTTTCTTTTTTCTTTCTGAGACAGGGTTTCTCTGTGTAGCTCTGACTCTGCTGAAACTCACTCTGTACACGAGGCTGGCTTCGAACTCAGAGAAATCCACCTGCCTCTGCCTCCTGAGTACTGGGATTGTTTGCTGCCGCCACCACTGCCTGCCTAAATAGCCAGTGCTAGTCTCCTAGTCCAAGGGGAATCAAACCCCAGCCTCCCACATGACAGGTGGGATTCTCACCACGATACTAGGGAGGAGGATAGCTATCTCTTGCTTGTGCTTTTACTGCCTACAGAGGCACCAATCTCCCGGTCTTGCTCTGTGTCTGGAATGTTGGGAATGCCAAGACTTGCTCAACGTTGACTCTTTACAGTTTATCCTGTTAAACAGAGAAGGGTTGGACTTTGTATGGCTGTTGGTGCTGGTGACACTCAGGTCTTTTAGTCACTGCTCTGTCCCTCTTCTCTTCCTGGATATGGCTTGGTTGTTTCCACCTTGGCAAGGTCCGTGCATGATTGGAAGAGTGGGAGCTGTTCATTTTCTTTTGCTTCTGGTGGGAAATTACATGGGTTAGTCAGAGGTCTAACCTGATTGTCTAGGGCTGGGTAAAGCCTGGCAAACAGCATCCTGAGGTTACTTTAGAGCCAGGGGGAGTGGAAACAGACTCTTCAAGGTGGACAAGTAGCCTCTGCTTGGAAACACAGAGCTCAGTTATCAGGTCCTGAAATTGTGGTGTATGCCCTTCTCCTCTTTAATATGTATATCAAATATATGGATTTTATATGTTAAATATAAGGAATGATTATGTACATACACATATATGTGGGGAGAGGGGATTTTAATTACATCATTTCCCCCTTCCCTTTCTTCCCTCCAAACCCTCTCATATATCTCCTACTCCCTTGTGCTCTTTCAAATTCATGTCTCTTTTGTTGCTGCTGCTGTTCTTTTGTTGTTATTGTTGTGTATGCATTTTACTAAATACATAAATACCACCTGTATTATGCTCCTTGTATGTATATGTGTTCAGGGCTGACCATTTGGTATTGGATAACTGATGGAGCGTCTTCCCTGGGGAAGACTGCTTCTCCTGCTCCCAGCATTCCTTAGTTGCCATTGTTGTATGGGGTTGAAGCTTCTTAAGCTTTCTTCCTTCCTTATTAGCATGTCTGTTGGCATTGTCCTCGTCCAGGTCATGTTTAGGCAACTGTGTTAGTGAGGCTTCAAGGGTGTAGCTTTTGACGTTTCTAGGAGCTATAATCTTAGAGCAAACTCCGTATTCCCTGGACTCACAATTTTTCTGCCCCCTCTTCCACAGTGACCCTGAGACTTGGGTGCCGGGTTTGTGTCATAGCTGTGTCTGTTGGGACTGGGATCCACAACTCTGCGTTTTGATTGGTTGTGATTTTCTGTGATGGTCTTTGTTTGTTGCAAAGAGAAGTTTCCTTGAGGAGGGGTGAGGACTACACTTATCTGTGGGTGTAAGGACAAGTATTTGGAGTGCAGTTAGAGATTCTGTTGCATGTCCCCTTCTGAGGTGCTGGAGATGGAAGCCAAATTCTCGCTCATGCTAACCAACTACTGTTGCACTGTGCTACACCCCTGGCCCATCCCATTCCTAAATGTGCCTTCTCTCTGTGCCAGGTTTCTGCAGGTGCTCAGTGTGTTCATATGTGGCATTGCAGTGTCACAGTGACTCTGTGGAAGTGGGGAGAGAGCCATTTTTTGATGACCTAAATACCTTTCTCTTGGGTGGAGATTAAACCTTTCTGTGCAGTACCTGTCATACCTAGGGAGCCTCTTGGTGTTCTCTTCCAGCTTCTGGTTTGACAGGTTGCAAACAGGTCATTGAGCCAGGGCCAGTCAGGGCCGAGGGAGTGGTCCTGCTAACTTACCTTCCTCATCAGTTGGGTGGCAATGGAGTAGGCAGCCTTCCTCACTTTGTGGGGCTGAGCTGCCTACACAAGGGGAGCTTGGGTGTGTGAATGCTGACCTGGGTCTGCTGATTGGATTTGAGCTCTCAGTGGCAGCTTCCTGTGTCCATCTGTGGGCAGTGAGTCCTCTGCATCTTAAGGGCAGCCTAGAAAGGCCTGTGGTACAGCGACTTGTCATCCTTGATATGGGAAAGGGCCATTGAGATCTGCTCTCCAGCTTTTCTGTTTTAGTAGAATTTCCCAGGAATTCTGGCTTCCCTTGGTCTTAACCTGGAGGAAGCGTTAATCATACTGAGAATGGTAGAGAATCAAGATGAACAGGTAGTGATTATTAGCTGGGATCTGGCTGACTGTGGCTGTTGCTAGTACGATGTAAGTAAGAAGTAGCAGGGATGCGTCCTGGTAAATATGAGGGTCTTCTCCCTCTGAGGTCCCAGAAGCGTTGCAGCAACTTCTGTGGTTGGTAGGAGAGATAAGAGAACATGGCCAGTGGACCAGACTGCATGAGTGTCTGGCCCTTGTCCTTTCCCATGACCCAGGGACTATCTGGCGGAGCCCTGCCCTTCCAGTTGTGGTCTTGCCCTGCATGGGCTGCCGTTAAGCTTTGGGCTATGGTAAGAATAGCACCCCTGCCTGTGCTCGAAGCAGGAGACAGATGCAGTAAACGTCTGTAAACTGCTGGAGGGATGAGTCTGGTCTCAATAGGAGCTCATAGCTGGATGTGAAGGCTAGAGGTGGATGTATGAGTTCCATGTTCCCTTCCTTCCCCAGTGAGTGTTGACTCCCGATGTATTTGTTATGTATGTGTGCAAGTGCAGATGGGCAGTACTCAGTAAGCCAGGGGTCAGCCTGCAGGACTCCTTTCCTGCTCCCTTGTTTGTTTTCCTTTGATGGAACTTAAGTCCTCAGGTTGTGCTCCAAGCACCTTTACCTGCTGAGCCGTCTCGCCAGCTCTAAATACCATTTCTCTTGGCCCTTAAGATCATTTCTAAATTGTGAGTTTTCTTCATTTTCACTAAGTGTGCATGTATGTATGTAATGGTTGTTTCGAAACCGCAGGTTGTGGAGTCATCGTCATTAAGCTGGGGCACCAGAGTAAAAGGCTTCATCGCATGTTTTGCCCTAGGAATCCTCTGCTCACTTCTGGTAAGATCTCCTTCCATCCACTGCCATGTTGTTTCCCTTTTGCCCACTTTTCCCTTGAGGCTTCATTCAGTTGAATGGATGAGGGGGGAGGGAGATGGGAAACTGGGAGGGCAGCTGTGTGGCTCTGGTGGGAGTGGCATGCTGTGCTTACATGACATGTCCTGTGCTTCCCCTTCTAGGGCACTTTTCTGCTGTGGGTGCCCAAGAAAGGACTGAGCCTCTTTGCAGTGTTTTACACCCTGGGTAACATGGCATCAATTGGGAGGTAACCTTTTTCTTTTCTCCTTTTCTCAACATTGCTATGTATCGGATGATAACATATCTATCCTGTTTGAGGTGGGGAGAAGAAGGAGTTGGAAAGAAGGAAGAGTTTTGGCATATATCACATTCATACCATCTTATTTCAAAACATCCTATACCTTAGTTATCTTCCCCCCCTGGGAGAAAGCAGAAAGTCTGCGACCACTTCTTCACATGGGAGGGAACTACAGCACAGAGCATTGGAATGATTTCCCCAAGGCACACGGTATGGCCAACCCTCTCTGTGTTGGTTTCACTGCCCTCAGAGACTGACTGGATGCAGCTGCTGCTTCTAAGAGCCACCAGGCAGGCGTGTGGCTATGAGACTGGGAACTGGCTATTATATGGTGCCAGACCATCCTGGGTTGAGGATCAGGCTCCTGTGTAAGAGCATCTGATGGGTGCTTTTCAGGGGAGGTCAGCCGTTCTGCCTACTTCAAGTGCACTGATACCCAAGTTGACCTCCTTCACCCTGATGCTTCACTACATCTGTGTAGACAATGCTCTGATGGGAAATCTGGCCTGGCCCTATCAGAATAGACTTCAGGAACCTGACTGGGCCGTCCTTCCTTCCCTTTCTCTCTCTCTCCCCTATGTTTCTATAAATGACTTCAGAGTCCTGTGGGAAAATGGCTCCAGGAGACCAAGTTTTCCTATCTTAACTTAGCCGTAATAACGCAGTTGCTGTTGTCGTTCTTAAAATATATATGTATATGTATAAATATTTTAAAGATTTATTTATTTATTGTTTATAATGTGTTCTGCCTGCATGTCAGAAGATGGCACCAGATCTTTTTATAGATGGTTGTGAGCCACCATGTGGGTGCTGGGAATTAAACTCAGGACTTCTGGAAGAGCAGCCAGTGCTCCTAACCTCTGAACTATCTCTCCAGTCCCCTATTTATATTTTTTGTATATGAATGTTTTGCCTGCATGTATATCTGTGTGCCACATGTGTACCTGTTGCCTGTGGAGGTCAGATGAGGACATCAGATCCCCTTGAACTGGATTTAGATACAGCTGTGAGCCACCATGTGAATGCTGGGAATTGAACCTTGGTCCTCTGCTAGAGCAACCAGTGCTCTTAACCACTGAGCAGTCTCTCCCGCCCCAGTGTTGTCTTTCTTCCTCATCCCTGTGGCTGTTTGTCCCCACTGATTGGTTTTGGACTCATTGGCCAAGCACTGTCACCTCTGCTGGACTCAGTGCACACTGGATCTCATTCACCAGCAGGGCAGCGAGGCATGAGCCACTGACGCAGCAGATAGTGAGAAGAGAGCCGAGAGGGCTGGATTGGGTCAAGGACAGTTTCCTCCAGAAGGCGGTACCTGACTGCTCTGACCTTTGTCCATCTCCTCCTTACCTCAGCTACTCCGTCATACTCTGTTGGGTGTGAGTCCCCACTCGCCCTGTGGCTCCCCGTCCCCTCCCTGCAGCTGGAATGCAAACTTGGTGCTCCTGTGTGTCTCCCAGCACCTCTCTGCTTCTCCCCAGGCCACTTACTTTGTCTGTGGTCCCGCCTATCTCTCCTCCCATTTGTCATTTGTCATCTCCCAGCTTGTGGGAAGCTCTGCGGATTGCCACCGCCTTCTGGAACTGGTGACCTCCTCCAGGGCTCCTTCCATCCCAATTATCTTTTTGTGACAGCACAGGTAGCAGTGACTGATGTTGCCCTTGAAGCTTTCTCAGATACCAGCTTTTGTGGGTTTGCTCTGGGCTTACAGTGAGGGGTAAATGTAGAGTGAGCATAATGATACAGGTGTGTTGCTCACCACAAAAGAACTCTTCAGCAGTTATTAATGGACTGATGCCATAACACTGCAGAAGGAAACAGTGGAGGGCACATAGTTATTTCTTGGTGTTACTAGGGGCTTCTGACTTTACACGGAATCTGTTTATACACGTGCACCTTGAATCTGCTACTTACTCTGTTTGGTACAGGATCCCTGAGCTTGGAGACTTGAGCTCAGAAAACAGCTTAACATCAAAGAGGGGCAGCCATATTGAATGTTCGGTAGTTAATGGCATCTGCTGTCACTTATATTGACTCCCACTGTTTGTCGCTTGGGCAGCACACGTGATCCAGAAAGCGTGGCTGACACCTGGTCCCTGTCCTTGATGTGTTAGGTGTGTGTATCTGCTTCACTTGTGATCACGCCCACTAGCTGGCTCTCAGGTTTCCTTCATACAAATTCATGCTAAGGATGCCTTTAGAATAGATGCTGGCAAAATACTAGCTCTGTGGACTGATAGTTCTCAAAAGGTAAGCTACCCTCTCACGTTCCTATCTCTGAAACAAGAACAGTAACACCTATCACAGTTATTGGGGGGCTGAAATGAGTGCTGACATTGTTACTCTAATCACCATTAGAATTCTTGGAGAGTATGAAAGAAGTGTTGTGTTTTTAATGTAACCAGTGTAAGCCTGTAAGGTGTGCTTTCTGTTTCTTAAATCTGAGCTCTTGGTCTGTTTCTGAGAGTAGATGGAGGTGGGGTAGCCACTCTTAGAAAGAGAGTGCTGAGAGTGGCTCACAGTCAGACCCACAGGCACTTGTGGTCCTGCTCCTATATTAGTTGGGTGACTTGGTTGCATAAGCCCTTGGGCTTTTTCTTCCTCTCTAAAATGAGTGTACTAATTGTCCCTACTTCATAGGTCCTTGATGGACTAAATGAGGGCACAAAAGACCTGCCAGCCCAGTGCCTGGCAAGAGCCGTTTGTACTGATGCTGTTCCTGTTACTGCCACAGGGGCTCTTGGGGAGGTGGCTGCTGTGTCTGTTCTCACCTTAATGGCTTGAGAGTGTGTGTGTTTGCCTCTTAGCACCGTCTTCCTCATGGGGCCCGTGAAGCAGCTGAAGCGCATGTTTGAGCCTACGAGGCTGATCGCCACAATCCTGGTGCTGGTAAGGACAGACAGACTGCTTTCCCGACAGGCTTCGTATGTGGGAGCCTGTCTCTTCTTTTCCTTTTTAATCCTAGGAATTAAACATGGTCTCATGCATTTGGGGCTTCATAAGTTGTCCAGGCTGGCCTTGAACCTACTGCCTGCTTGCTTCACCCTCCTGAGTGCTAAGATTGCAGGGGTGAACGGCTGAGGGTTTTTTTTTTTTTTCCTTTTCTCTTCTTTTCTTCCTTTTTCCCCCTTCTGTATCCCTGACTGTCCTGGAACTCACTCTGTAGACTAGGCTGGCCTCGGACTCAGTGATTCACCTGCCTCTGCCTTCCAAGTGCTGGGATTGAAGGGTGCACCACTACTGCCTGGCTTGGAAGATTTTATTTCTATCCCATCAACACAGACTGTAGCTTTCTTTTTTGACCCAGTTGTCCATAGAGCTGTCAAAATCTTTCCAGACCCCATTCTCTAGATTCCAGGCATAATTACCAGTATTGTGAGATTTGAACTTGATTGGCATACTTCTAATTTTAGTTTAGTTTGTGGGTCTCTCACTCATACAGGGGTGTTCTCTAAGGCCATGACTATGTTTGCTATTTACTTACATCCCCTCAGAGTGCAGCGCTGGGCACAGAGAGTGTGTAGAGCACACCCATTAAGGAATTATAGAGGAGTGCAATGAAAGGTATGGTAGGTGTCTGCAGCAACCATTTTCCCCCCAGCTTCAGATATAGCTGGCCTGACCGCTCTGTTGTGGAAAGACTTTCTAAGAAAGGACATAGGGCAGTGTCAGGTGACAGGTGACAGGTTTCCTGGCTGTGCCGACCTTTGTTCTCACACGCCTTTTCTACTCCAGAGGCTAAGTTACAGAGAGAGGTTTGTGGCCAGCTTACTTTTGTGTCTTGAATGAAAAGATCGGTCCAGAAAGGTGCTTTCATTTGCAGACATTTGGGGAGAACTTAAGAGTGGAAGCACATCTATCCTTTTCCAGTCTGCATGGATTTTTATTGTTGAGTTGGGTTAAATGCTTTGAACCACATTGTACTAATTAGCGTTTCTTCTTCTAGTTGTGTTTTGCACTTACCCTGTGTTCTGCCTTTTGGGTAAGTGTGAACTTTAGTCTTCTGTGACGTTTGTTGTTTATATCCCTTGTCACACACTTTGCAGTAACTATGTCTTTTTTTTTTTTTAAAGTGGCATAAAAAGGCACTAGCACTCATCTTCTGCATTTTGCAGTCTTTGGCCTTGACATGGTAAGCAACATCAGTGTCCCTCCCCATAACCAGCCCTGCCTTTGACCAGTGCTGGGAAAGGAGAGAAAACTGTGTGGTGTGGGTGGGGAGGTTAGGAAAACACAGAAGCTCTTGAGTTGAAGAGTTGTCGGTAATGCAGCAGAAGTCAAGCTTCTGAAGCCAGCCAGGTGACTCAGCCACTGCCAGTAGATGGCATTAGCAGTCTTGAGTGGTCTCCAGAGGCCTCTGACCACAGCATTTTTGCTGAACTCATGATCAGTTGTGAGTTGTGAGATGTACAGATATTACTCAGCTATTCATGTCTGGTAAGTGCAAAGTCAATGCAGGCATTATAAAGACTGGTAACAAGAGGAGTCAAATGGACACTTCCAGAGAAGGGTACTGCTGAGAAAGTCAGTGATTGTCATAGAGTTGGTCACTGCTGGCTCGTGACGTTAAGTAGCACCACAAGCAAGGCTCGAGCCAGAGGGGTTAATGCCCCATGGACCGTTTGCACCCTTCTCTGCCACGTAGCTATTTACAGGATGTGTTTACATGATGTGTGAGTGCATACGGGTAGAGCCTCAGGGCTTTCTTCCAGGGAGTTTTCCACTCCCTCCATTCAATCTTTGCTTTGTTTTTCTTTGTAGGTATAGCCTTTCCTTCATACCATTTGCAAGGTAAGACTATGTATTTGGAAATAGGGATTCTTCGATTTGTGAACCATGATTTGTTTACATAGGACTTTTAATTTTTAAAAAGGTTAATTTATTTTTATTTTAATGTGTATTTTGCCTGCATGTATATTTATTTGCCATGTATGTGCATTTCTTGTGTGGGTTAGAAGGGGCTGTTGAATCCCCTAGAACTGGAATTAATGAATGGTTGTGGGCTATCATATGGGTGCTAGGAATTGAACCCGGGTCCTCTAGAGGAGCAGCCAGTGCTCTTTAATTGCTGAGCCATCTCTCCAGCTTCTGCATGTGGATGTTAGTTTGGGGATGTTAGTTTAGGTGCAGAAAGTACATGTTATTCTATTTGTCTTTAAAATTCTTTGATCTAGTTAGACACAGGTTGGGCATCTGCTTTATAGATTACTATGATAAAGGCCATGGTTCTCTTGATGTCATTGTTCAAATGTGTTGGCCAGACTCTGAGTTCCTGGAGTTTGGGGCACTCAGCTCTAATATAAAGGGCACTGATGCACACCAGCATTCCTTTAATCTGTAGCTTTGAGGTAATAACTTGACAGGTGATCAATGTAATGTAACTAAACAAGAGCGACGGGGTCCTTAAAGTCTGCTTGTTTACCTACAGGGGCTCACACAGGGAAGCATTTTAGAAGAGTCTAGAGGGAAAGCAGGGTCAGGACTCTAGAGGACCAGCACTTCCTAGTTAGCAGTGTGAGCTTGGTGACTTAGCCAAGCATCAAGACCTCAGATGCGACATGGAGTGCATGGGGCTGGTTCATCCCAGATGCTGGGAGTTTGTTAATTAACCACTTTTGACGGTGGGCTTTTCCCAGTTAGTCACAGGACCTTTGCCTCTGATTCCATTCTAATAGAGCCACTTAATTTCATTCTTCTCCGGCATCTACTAAACAAAGATATTTTCTGCAATCGTGTTGAGGACATGAAGAATTGTGCAGAGGCTGGGAGAGAGGGAGGACTTCTGTCTTATGCATTGCAGATCTGCTGCTGACGGTGATCTGAATGTGCAGGGTATCAAGGCTAACAAGCTCATAGAGTGTTCCTTTGTGCAAGGGAGTATAACCTTTGTGAAGTACTGGGGCAGAGAGGAACTTATTCTGAGAAGAGTATGGGCAGGGATTTTCCCAGGAGCTAGCTTGCTATGCAAAATAAGCATCTAATGAACTAATTATCAATTTGGCAACAATTTGACCATAGTAGGTCCCTAAACTGCTTACATAATTTACTGGGCCCAGCACAAAGTGACTACCCCTTAGTGATCTCAGTGTGTTCTGTGGTTAGCTGATGTAAAAATGCAGCAGCATGTACTCATCCCCAGGACCAGTCTGCAGGGTGAGTGGGCATATTCCATGTGACAGATGAGGACATTAAAACTCCAGCGTGACCAGTAATTTTCCCAGAAGAAAATTGCAAAGAAACGTTGGGACTACCATTTGATGAGTGGTTCTGAGCTCACTGTTTTCCCCGTTAGCAGCGTGGGACTCTAGGAAATGCTCAAGAAAGGTCTTTGCCATTGGGAGCCTCTGGAGTGATAATGTCCCATTCATCTCTGTGTTTTTCCTTCCTAGGGATGCTGTGAAGAAGTGCTTTGCTGTGTGTCTTGCATAATACACTGCCAGTCTGCAGAGAGCACTGTGGATGGAAGCTGGTGGACAATTTTGTAAATACCCTCTGAACTCTGTCTCACAGACATGTGCCTTTCACTTGCAGCAATGCATTGCTTGCAATTTGGACATTTTGAGGGTTGCCCATGGGAGCAGTCATGAATCCTAAGCTCTAATGTCTGTAGCACAGTGTGAGGCTCTGGGGCTAGTGTAGAGGACTCTTCCTCATGACCTTCTTCCTCTCTGGATGGTATCCCACCGAGTTCTCACACATTAGTCTTTCTTTAACAACAGCAGATAAGCTGCAGGAGCACCTGATTCCCAGGCGGCAGCGGGAAGGTCTAGTAGAGACTATAGGGGTGCAGCAGAAAGTAGAACTTTGATGATTTGCTCCCTCACCAAGGAAACCATTGTCACTGCCTCACACAGCATCTTCCCTGGTGTTTGAGAACAAGTGATTCTGCCCTTCCTAAGAGCCTGGAGAGCCTGTCCTGGATACATTGTTCCTTCCTATGGATACATTGTTCCTTCCTAAGAGCCTGGAGAGCCTGTCCTGGATACATTGTCCTTCCTATGGGCTGCACCATCTTGCTGTTCCTAATCACAACTGCCTATGGAATGTATTTTCTAGTGTTCGTTGTGGATTCTTTCTCTTGCCCTCACCTTCCCATGGCCCTTGTCTTGTAACCTTGGGACACTGCTTGATTGAGAGTGAAGTAGTGACCTAAATTACTATTTGCTTTTGGACAAGAGTCACCAGAAAGTGAAAAACCTTCATGTTCCCTGCTCTGTTTATTTTTCTTCATTATTTATAAATATTTACTTCTATTGATTTTATTTTCCGTTCTTCACTGGAGTTGGGCCAAGGAAAGTGCATGGGAAGACAGATCCCTTGTGGGGCCAGCAGGAAGTAGGCATGCCTGCCAAGCAACTTTTCAATGCTCCAGCATTGGCACTCAGCCAGCGCTGGACACTGGAAATACACCAGCCTGCAGGTGGTCATGTCTCAGCCTGATGCCTAAGCACACACGCAGTGTTCTCGTGTTGGTGATCTTATCTGGTCCTCATGACAGCCATGTGAGGAACCAGGATTGTTGTCTCGCTGTGCAGTCAAGGGACCAAGCCTCAGATGCGTTTCCATATCACCTGAAGTTACAGCTGTGGCTGGGCCAACCCAGAGTCTGGCCACCTTGGTTCCAGCCTCCTTCATGATGACATGGCTCTGGTCAAGCCTGCCATCATCTCTCATAACCGTGTCCTTGTTCTCACCGTCCTGGGCTGTACCTTTTCCGGCTTCAGCATCTGTGCCACCTGTGCCATTTTCTAACTGCCCTCCATCTCACTTTTGCACGCTTCCCTCCACATCTATGGGATGGCCACCATCCCCTAGCCCCTTTCAGCTGCCCTGTGCTTCCCAGGCATCATCATCAGATGATGATCTAGGTTTACCCTTTGTTCTTTGTGCAAGGCCAGATCTACTCTGGTCTCCGCTTTGCCGGCTTTGGTTGTGGCCAATTGCTGAACTGTGGCAAATAACTCTGTCTTTTCTTCTGAGATGGAGAAGGATGGATAGGCTTATTAAGGCAGAGGGCAACTCAATCATTCTAGATTCTTTTCATGCTATTGAAGGCACCTGTGAGGTCTTCCACCTGGCTTCAGTCAGGAAGGAAAATTATATGCTACCCTCTGGCTTTGTGAGGCGCATTCATATCCCAGGAGCCTTGGGAGTCAGTTCAGGTCTCAGAAGACCTCAGGTGGCAGAAGGGACATGGGTAGTTTAGAGATGCCCGTAGTTCCTAGCTGACACGAAGCTAGGCTAACTGCTTCAAGCTCCAGCCATCCTAGAGTCGTGCACCTACAAGGCTGACTCTTCCATGCCGTTTTCAGCAACTGAACTTGAGCTCGGGTACCTTTTAAAGATGTTAGCAGGGCTGAATAGCATAGCCGTGTGACTGTGAGTATAGAAAACAAGTAGATCTGAGTGTGAGCATGGTTCAGTCACGTGCTGGTTGAGTCCTTTAATGTTACCTAAAGTTTGGTTCCTCAGTTTCTCTGTTTCAAAAAAAGTGGGCTGACAAATCCTGCTGGCTCACTGGAGGATGCTAGTGAAAGATGACTGTATCAGGTCCTTGGTATGGGGCCTAGAAGAGAGTCTCTGCAATAACTGCTGAGTCCTAAAGGTGACAGGATGAATGCTTGGCCATTAATTTGTCTAATACTGAATACTGTGTACATCACTGTAGACACCACCATACATTATGTCATTGAATGGTCACAGGACTTCCAGGCAAGAGATACTACCTTCATCATCATAAACTAGTAGCTGCCTCAGATGATCCCACCAGCAGGGACATCAGTGAGGGGTCTCTAAGTGGAAGGTGAAGTCTTGGCTAGAAGATTTTTGAGCCTAATTCCTACACCTGTGGCCAATTGACGCACCTCTGGACACATTTAAGCAGCTTTTGGATAACCGTCTTCCAGTATTTTCTGAACTCCCAGATTTTTTCTTTGTTGCCTTATCCTTTGGTTGTTTCCTTTCCTTCTTTTATTGGACTGTAAAAGGAAGAAATCCACTTCAAATCTGCTAAAGTCTCGTACCAAGCTAATAGCATCAATTAGAAGCAACTTTAGTGAGGGAGGCTGAGGTGGAGAATTAGGGCCTCTGACACTGGCTGGTGGTGGTGGTGTTTCCTCTCCCTGCCCTTCACACTCCCCAGTGAGCTGGCACCGCTGTGTGTGGGAAGTGATGGAAACTCTTGAGTGGTCCATGTCGAGGGAATGGGGCACTCATCAGGCTGTGTTCCAGGTATGGGTGCCGAGCTCTGGCTTGCGTGCTGCTGCCTTCCCTGGGCTGTACTCTGTAGAGTGCTGCACTCAGGACCGTTGTGCCTTCTGCACCAGGAGTAGCTTAGGGTCTCCTTAGCTCCCTTCTACTTCAGGCTGACTTTTGGGACCTGCTCACTGAGTTCTGGCTCTCTCACAGGCTGACAGGCTTCCCTTTTCACAGACCAAGCCCTGAGGAAGCTTTTGTCTCTCCTGCTCCTCTGTATGGCTTCTGCTCAGACCCAGCTCCAGGCATCCTGTCTTGGGGGAAGGGTGAAATACCATTCCCAGCTCAGCATTTTCACCATGGAAATTGTCCCAGTGCTGGGTGCCTGTGTCACTCTCATGGTGCCCTTGTGGGTTGTGTCGTAAGTGCCACCTTCCTTCCAGATAGTCGCTACAGGCTGAGAGAGTGGGAAATGAAATCAAGAAATGCATTCCATATAAAGATTACTGTTTAATGCTCAATTAAAGTAGATACTCAGCAGCTGGGCAGTGTCTGAAGCAGATGTAGAGGCTAGGCTGGTTTGGCTTTTGTTTTTGACATCCCCACAGTATATGGAACGAGGCTTGGTGAAGTGAATTGGGCAACTAAGGTTCACCCCGTGGCTGTGGATTTCCTTTCCTCTGGGCACCCTCTGCCCACCCTTCTGATTTCATTCTTCCTCATTGGAGCCAGCTACACACTTTAAATTCACAACCTAGCCTAAAACTTGTTTTCGGCTAATTAAAGATAAAAGAAAGAACAATCAGTGTTTAAAACAGTATAAAGATGTTTGCTAGACTTTGGCAATTTTTGTTTTATTTTTAATGTCCAAGTTCTATTTTTTAAAATAAGTTTAGTATGTGCTGTAGCTTACAGATAACATTGTTTTAAAAGTGAATGAACCTCAGCTGAAATTCAGTGCAAATACATATTTATGTAACTCTTTGTATCTAGAAGTCCAGATTGCTTAGAAAGTTTTATTTTAAAGGTTGCTGAGGAGGCGGTCCAGAAGTACCTGCCATTTCATAATTTTGTGGTGTTTTGAGGTCCTGTGTGTTTTTAGGCGAGTGAAGTGAGAATTGTAGTAGAGTTTGTTTGACCTCAGCTCATTCAGGGTGGGGTATATAGTTCCACTTTGAGTAGTTCCAGTTCTTCTGTGATTGATGGGTGTCACATGAAAGTAACCACTGCTTAGGCTTTGCCATCAGCTAGTTACGTTTTTGTTGCAGCTTGGTAAATGGTAAATAGCAGTCTTCATTAATATAAGCTGACAACATAAAATCTCATTCTTTCTATCAAGAGCTGGTAACTGGCAGCTAGACTTGGACATGTACAAAGTGATTTTTTTGCAGGTTGAATGATCTGAAACCAGATAAAAATAGGTCCAGTAGACAGAAATTTTATTAGAAATGAGAGAGGTCAGCCCATGGCATCACAACAAATAATAATGTATGCTATGTACTCAGAATAATGCCACTACATGTAATAGACTCATTGCCTTTCATGCATGAAGCCTCAGATTCAGTCTGTGAAAATACATACACTGGCCATGGTGGTGCATGCCTGTAATCCCAGCACTTAGGAGGTGGAGACAGGAGGATCTGAAGTGCATTAGACCCTATCTTAAAAAAATTAGAAAAAAGAATCAAATGAAGTCTCATGTTTGGGTTCCTGCACATGACTCTTGTCTGTTAAATGTCCAGCGTTTTTTTTTTTTTTCTGGACTTTTTCATTGTGTTTGCTTAGCTTGAATAAGGAAAGGAAAAAGATTACCCCCCCCCCCCGAACTCTGTCCTTTGCAATTGTGTTGTGAAGTTGATAGTGAGGGCATTCAAAAGCCTATGATGGAGCCACCCCTATCCTTGTGACTTTGGGCATCTGGGCACACTTCCCAACATTAACCAAATCCAAAATGCCTATGGTGGATTTGTATGCCTCCAGAACATTGTACCTGTTGTAATACAGTGAACTTTAAAACTTTGTTAAAACAAATGAAACAATTTTTATAATTGTGTAGGTGTAGTTGATTTTGAATGTTACTGATTGCATAACTGAATTTTTATATCCAAAAATACATTTTTGAGAACTGCCTTGTCTGCTTTGAGGATGTATTTCATATAATGTTTTCTTTTTACTAACTTACTTCAAAGAGAAAAAGTGTTGCTAGAGAGAGCTAGCTCTCCCTTTCATAGTTATTTTTTCCCTTTTTCTTTTCTCCAATAAATTGTAACAGCATCATGATCTTTAACAAATCTAGTGTTGTCTCTTATTCATGTCTGTTTCTCTGGGACTCACTGAGCCAAACAACTATAAGATGATATCTTGGTGTGTGGTTCACATTGTAGTATGTTAAACCCCTCCCTCCATATATACACACATAATTGCTGTATTGTCTTTTTCTCAAACAAAGTAGAGCTTAAAATTGATCTAAAGACCATCAGCGTTGATCTCTTTATGACAGTGAATACAGCGTGACCAGCAACTTCATGCTCCCACTGACAGGATTTCCCATCCCCTCAAACCATGAGCCAAAGCCAACTTTTCCTTGAGGAAGGTGCTTCGTGGCAGCTCTTCTGTCACAGTGGTGCTGAAAAGGAACCAACACACAAGGCAACATGGCTCTTTAAAAGATCATGTTTCATCTACTGAGTCCAAAGATTCTGAAATAGGTAAACTGCCAGGTAAGATTTGAAAAGGTTGCTAGCGAAAAAGAACGACCAACTCAGAAGACAAGAAGAGATTAAGACCAGGCTCTGGAGAGAAAAGGAGAAATATAAAGAAAAAAGGTCAGCAAAAATAGACAAGATCAGAAACACCTAAGAGATGGCAACAAGGAGGAAATGTTAGCAAGGAAATTGAAATCCTGGAAAACAAAATGTTAGGAATGAAAAACTACAAAACAAAACAAAAAAAAACAAAACAAAAAAAACAAGCAAGCAAAACAGTGTGATTGCCACAGATCGGACCAAGCAGAAAAATGAATATTGGGGATGGAGAACAAGACTGAGGAAATTCTTCATCTAAACAATGACTACAGTGTCCCATAACTCAGGGTTATAATTAAGATGCCCAAACCTAAGCATCTACAGGATGGAAGAAGCGTTGATAAATACTGAAGGCATAGACAGTCTAAAAGGAGGTGATAGCAGAAAGTCCCCAAATCTAGAGAAAGACATTCAAACATAAGAGATATTTAGAAAACATAAACATCAGAGAATAACCTCTTCACAATAGTCCAGACAATAAAAACAAAGCAACCAACATAAAAATCTGTAGAGTAATCACCAACCCACCCACAAAGGCAAAGACACCAAAAGAACAGCAGCACTCTGGCCAGCAACCCTAAAAGTCAAGAAAATGTGAGATGATGTATTTCAAGACCTGAAAGTAAATATCTACCAACCAAGGTTGCTATAGCCAGGTGATGTTATTTTAATGAGAAGGTCCCCATGAACCCCTGTGTTGAACAGTTACTTGGTCCACAGTGAGGGTGATGTTTGGGGAGGTTATAGAACTTGCTGGGAACAGGCTTCGAGGGCTTGTAACTTTCACACTTTCTATTCTATGATTCCTGTATGTGGAGCAAAGTGTGATTGGCTAGCTTTCTGTTGCCCCTGCCATGCTTTCTGAGTCATGGTGTGTAATGAGCATTCTTCCTGACAGCCTGGTCTCAGAGCTGTGTCAGTCCCAAATGAGCATGCAGAACACTATATTAATTATGAAGCTGCTGGCCGTTTGCTATGGTTTCTTAATGGCTAGCTATGTTTTTTATTTAAATTAGAAACATGCATGCTTCAAATGTCAATCATGGCTCCCCTCTTCTCCCTCCACCAACCCCCCCAACCCCCTCACCCCCAGCCCAATCCCCACATCATTCCCCAGGGAGGGTAAGGTCCTCAATTGGGGGGAAATCTCCAGAGTCTGTCATTTCATCCAGGGCAGGACCTAGGCTGTTCTCCATGTGTCTAGGCTGAGAGAGCATCCCTCCATGTGGAATGGGCTCCCAAAGTTCATTTGTATGCCATGGTGAACCCTAGTCTACTACCCAAAGCCCCAGAGATTTCTGAGGCCTTCTCACTGACACTGCATTCATGGCCTTAGTCATCAGTCTGGGGTTCAAGAACTTCCCTGTCCCGCGCTACCGTCTCGCCAGTAAGAACGACGCAGAACATTCGGATCCTTCTGCAGTAAAGCTTTAATGCATCTTGAGAGATAGATGATCAGCTTCTTAGAGGGAGACCCCAAGCTAAGAAACCCAGCCCCTTATATAAGCCTAGGAGCTCCGAGTGAGATGTGTAGAGCCGGGATTGGTGGTTTGCACATCACCCCAGATGACGTCACGGGAGAGGCACAGTTTAAACGGTTAACTCCAACTGACAGCGACAGTTAACTCCAACTGACAGCGACAGTTAACTCCAACTGACAGCGACAGTTAACTCCAACTGACAGCGAATGTCAGCGCCATCTTCTAACGGCAATAGCGATAGCGAGGGCGGCTCCTCACATCTCCCCTATTCATTTATTTTTGAAGCAATAGGACACCCACAACTTTGGAGTGGAGATAGAGGTCAAATCCCCATGTGCAAATTCGGAACATGTACAAAGCTCCTCTCCAGGGTCTTATCCCCAGAGGAAGTCCTGACCAGTCCGATGTCTTTTTTCTGGGGGAAGGAGATCATGACATAGAACCTTCATGCAAGATGACTTATCTCCCAGGAGAAAGTCGTTATACCGCAGACCTCTCCTGTGCAGTGCTTAGCCTTGCAACTCCTTGGGCTGCTGAAGCCTACCCACTCTATCCCGTGCAATGAGACTAGCCTCGTGGGGTGCAAGAGCTGGGAGGCCAGCGACCTATTGCTTTAACATGGTTAACCAAATGTCAGGGGATGCTCCGTGTTCTAAGGCAGCAAGTGCTTGTGCCACCACCACTTTCTCCTTTTGTTTGGGCTCTGAGCGTACACACCATCCAAAGCATCAACACTATTCCACAGCAGAGAACTAGGCTAAATGATCCTACCCCCACCCATTCCTTAAAATAAGAAAATGCAGATGAAATCCAGGGGAGAGGTCTTCCATCAGAGAAAGATCCAGATGCGTCGAATTCACTTGCAGGATCGCCATTCTCAACTCACGGAGTGTCTGCTCAAACTCAAAAGTCCAATTCTGTAATAAATGTTGAGACAGAGCTTTTGACAGGTTAGCTGCTCTTGTAAAATTCTCATATTGTACTAAGTGACATAAAGGCCAGGCAACTTTGTTCACATCCCAATTTGGCCATCTGCCACAATATATCCAATTGTTCCTGAACCAAATTAATCTGTTGGTTTACCAACATCAGGCCTCCTTGTATCTGAGAATTGGCAGTGGCCTGTTTATCTAGGACCATGGTCACAGTGGCCTATAGTTCATTAATGGTTTGAGTTGTCTGCACAGTGGCAGAAAGTGCAAGGGCCGAGGCGGTAACCGAAGCAGTAACCGCGGCGGTGGCTATCAGACCCACAATAATAGCAGAGATCCCAAAAATCTCGCTTTTCCCTAAACAAACTCAAATTACTTGGCGCCTCAACAGGAGCTGGAATAAATCGAGGCATGCGCATTACCAAAGCAAAAGGGTGCTTAATAGCATCCCAGCATAATGCATAAAAACAATTCTAAGCAGAACAATTTATTTCTTTCTGATTCTTACCTAAGGTATCATTACTCACAACCCAAATAAAGGGCAGCTGAATAATTAGTTCTCTTAAAAGGGGTATACTTAACATTGGAGGAGGACCAATCAGATGATCCAGAGCTCTGTCCCTCACTCAGACTGTTGCCTAATGCCCCTTTCCAATCAAAAGTAATCTGTCCCTTCTCACTATCATAGGAGAAAGATCAGTACAGCTTCCATTAATTCAAAAGGATTAGCATTAGATCTTTCTGGATCCATATGAATAAAATTATCCTTTAATGAAGAAATCACAGTAAAGCACAAGCTTCCTACTAATGACAAGGTTCTCTCATCCTGAAAACTCTGTATCTGAGGATCTAAAGGCAAAAAGGCAAGCCCCAACTCTCTATTATTTGTGAAAAATCTAGGGAACACCTGGGCATTCTGCATCACTGGCATCGGTAGGGGGAAGGTAGACATGATGGCCCACCGTAACTCTCCCATCATACTAGGAACCATCATCCCGAGTAGGAGAGTCTTCATCACCCACTTGGCCTCCATCCTTCTTATTCTGGAGTTGTGAAGGAGCTCTTCGAGTGAGTCTTTCAGGGATCCACAGGGGGTTTTCTTCCTCCTGTGGAAAAACACACACAGCTCCCCTGGATCTTATAAGAATAGGATCCGGGCCTTTCCAGAGATCAGTCAAGACATCTTTCCATTTTACCATTTCTTTTGGCCTATCAGGCTCTAAACTGTGGCGATCAGCCGCAGTGTGGCCTTGGGCATCACAGTTCAAGAAATTAAGGGTAAAAAGTGCCATGGATACAGCAACTCTTGGTACCGAGGGTAGAACATCCTCAATACTCCCTTTTGTTTAATCAGATATGATTTGAGTGTACGATGGGCACGTTCCACAATGCCCTGTCCTTGAGGGTTATAAGGTAGGCCAGTTAGATGGGTAACATCCATTTGCCGACAAAACTGTCGGAATTTTTGAGAGGTATATGCTGGTCCATTGTCTGTTTTTAAAATTCTGGGTTTTAAAGATCCCATAGCCCTTTTTGTAAAGTGTAGGTTTCTCTATCCCCGAGGGAGGGCAGCAACACCAGTTGTGCAATTCTATCTCCCTGCTTTATAGAAAATACATCCCGAGGGCTAGAACAGAGAACTTGAATCTCCTCTTTATGATATGGGTCAACAATCCCAGGATATATAATGAGTCCCTGTAAAGTTAAGGAGCCACGGCCCAGAATAAGCCCAATGGTGGCAGGGGGCAAAGGTCCAGGGGAATGGACTGGGACCGGTTGAACATTCATTTGGGGCATGAGTAAGAAGTCGGAGGCGGCACGTAAGTCCATTCCGGAGGTTCCTCGGAAACCTCTACTTCCTCTTGATTGCTTTTCTGAAATTGGTTCCCATATTTCTGAGGGCCCTGGGACCATGGGCCCCGTGACCCGTTTTTTGATTGGGGTACCTTGGATTCTTCAATAGGGGGCAGAAGCCTCCCTTTTACATCCCGGACTGACCTGCATTCGCTAGCCCTATGATAACCTTTACCATAACGATAGCAAAGCTTCGATTCTCTTGTTCTTTCAGGG